CCTCCCCCGCCTCTGCCTCTGCTCAGGGGGTGCCCGGGGTGCTGCACCCCTGCGAGGTGACCCCGTCCCGCTTGGGGAGGGGGCGATGGGGTGCGGGACCCCTCCGTCCCTGGGGCGCCAAGTGCTGCCCCATTCATTCCCCGTCTCTCTTCCACCCCCCCCCAAATCCCCATGGGGACCCATCCCAGTGCTGGTTTTCGGGGTGGTGCATCCTTCTGCCACCCCCAGCCCTGCCCGGGGTCCCCAGCTGGGGAAGGGGGAGCACAGGGGGGTGGCGAACCGCCTTCTCCTGCACGCCCACCACCGCTGCTGGGGGACAGTCCCTGCCCTGCACCGCTTCCCAAGCACGGAGGGGTGCATCGGCCGCCTGGCCACATGCAGGGAGAAGTCAAGCCCTCACTGATATTTCCAGCTTTTGGAAATAGGGGTAGTATTTTTTTACCTTTTTTATTCTTTAATGTTAGCCCTTTTCCAGGTGCTTTCTCCTCAGCCCGCTGACCCTGCGCCGTGGGACGCGCACCGGGGGCTCCTGGGCCTCGTGCAGACGCCAGCGGCTCCCCGGCCTTTCCCCATCCCGGCCATCTCGCTCCGTCGCAGGCCGTGAGAAGCCATCCCTGGCTGCTCCACGGGAAACCTTCGCCCAGCCAGGGTGGCCGGAGCCCCCTGGGAAGGCTGCTGTCCCGCCGCCGCCCCAGCGCCGTACGGAGCCATGCCGGGAATGCCGCGCTCCCTCTGCTCCGTCTGCTTCCCTCCCAGCTTGCTTTTTCCTTTCCTCTTTTGGGGAGGAGACAAGGGGAGGGCTGGAGGCCACCACCGCTGTGCAGCTTCGCTCAGCTCTGGGCACCCTACGCGGAGGCACCTCAGGCGGCTGCGAGCCGCCGGATCGGACCCCCTCCCTGCTTCCCCCGCGCAAACCCTCCCCTTCAGCGCAGTGCCACGTTTCAAAGCAAATCCGGACGGGAAAGGGGTGGCCGGGGGGCCTGGCGGAGGAGGAAAGGCTCCTTCTGTAGCAAATCGCAGGAGGAGGAAATCCATTTCCTTAATACCCTCCTGGTGGCAGCCCCCTTCTTTTTTTCTCCCCCCCCCCCCTTTTTTTTTTTTTCTGCAAATGCATTGAATGAGTGAGTCACTTCCAGTGCACAAAACCTTTTCGATGTGCTTGTGCATATATATATACTTATTTTAGAGGCCGGGGGGGGGGTTCAAAACTAACCCGAGAGGGCCGGCTGTATTCCAAAACCACATGCAAATGCTGCAAAGTTGGGCTGCAAGTTTCATAGTCGTACTTTAAAAAAAGACCAGTCACTGGGATTGCATCTCTGTCAGGGTTTCTCCCCACAGCTGGTTTTTTCAGAGGGCTGGTGCCTGCGGTTGCACGCCAGGAACCCCATCCCGGTGAGGTGGTACCCGGGCTCGCTGCTGCAAGGGCTTTTGATCGATGTGGTGCTCCGAAGGTGGTTTTGAAATGCAATGCGATAAAACCCCCCGTGGAGGTGATGGCAAGGGAGGCTTTTGCAGCGTTTCTGATTTTTTTTTTTTTATATTTTTTTTAATTAAATTTCTCCCGGTTGCTGAGAGGCAGCAATTTCCTGCTGGTGCCGCCGCTCTCCCGGCGGACCTCGGGGAGACGGCGCTTGCCGTGCTGGGGTGGCTTTCAGCGCTCCTCCCTCTGTACTGCCCAGCTGCGTCCCCGTTCGGCAGCATCTGCCCTCGTGTTCCCCTTGGCATGGGGTTTGGGACAGCTCTTTTGGTCCTTGTGGTTATTTTATTTTATTTTATTTATTCCTTCTGCTTTCTTTTCCCCTGGAGGAGAAATCGGGCTCTGCTCTTCCTCAGCCCTCCAAACCATCCATGCCCATTTTGGCCTTTCAGTACTTAAAGGGGGATCATAAGAAAGACGGGGACAGACTTTTTAGCAGGGCCTGTAGCGATAGGACAAGGGGAAATGGTTTTAAACTAAAAGAGGGGAGATTCAGACTAGGTATAAGGAAGAAATTTTTCACGATGAGGGTGGTGAAACACTGTCACGGGTTGCCCAGAGAGGTGGGAGATGCCCTGCCCAGAGAGGTGGTAGATGCCCCATCCTTGGAAACACTCAAGGCCAGGCTGGATGGGGCGCTGAGCAACCTGATCTGGTTGTAGATGCCCCTGCCCATGGCAGGGGGATGGACTAGATGGCCTTTAAAGGTCCCTTCCATCCCAAAGCATTGTATGATTCTCACCACCTCTATGGTGAGTTTTGGTGACAGCTCAGATATTTCTGCCTTTTGACGCCTTTTCAGCGCCTCTGCACTGGTGGGGAGGACATGTCGCCATCCCTTCTCCTCCTCCTCCTTGCTGCCCCGCTTCCCACCCTGCAGCCGGGCTCCCGCCTTCCCCAATGCTGCTGGCCACCACCGAGGTGGCCACCGCCGAGCTCAGGCTCAGCGGAAACGGCCGAATCCTGCTCACAATAGGCCGTTTCCTGCAGGGGAGGTTTCTTTGGGAAGGCACAAACGGGATTTTTAACCTTTTCCCAGGCGGCCCCTGGGAGTTGAGTGCTTGCTTGCTCCGGCACCGTGCTCACAGCAATGCTCGAGGGCTGCCGCGGGTCTCCCCCTCCCAAAGAGCGGCATGAGAGCATCCTTGAGCATCTTTTTGGGTATGCAACCTCTTCCCCATCCAAATGCATCAATGGGCTCCACCAGGCTGGTAATTTCTCCTCAGCAGGGAGCAGGTACCCGTCGCGATGGAGGTACTGTTCTCATCTTGCTTAATGCCTGGCTTTGCTGCCGGCTGTGCCGCTAGCACTGTTCCGGCTCCAGGGAGGGGATCTGGGGACACGGAGCATGGCACGAGGCTGCTTGCCGCTGTTAGGGGTGTGTTGGACTTGATTATTCGAGTGTTGTGCGCATTTTAGATGATCGTAGGGATGGAAGATGCTCAGGGAGGGAAGCCCAGGGCTTGGAGGGGGTCCCCCCAAAAAGAGCTGTCCTGAGCTGGGTGTTGTGGGGTTTTCTGCCTTCCCGGCCAGCCCTAAGCCTTCAGGGTGTGAAAATGCACCCTGTGGACATGTGTGTGGTGCTGGGGACGGATTTTGCTGCATGTGTGTGGCTGCTCCATCCACGAGAGAGCTGGAGCCCAGAAAGAAAAATGTCCCTCTTTTTTTTTTTTTTTTTTTTTTTTCTTTGGTCAAAAACCATTTTAACTGACTGTGTCTAGAAACACGAAGCAGGTGCTCTCCATCCTTGCGCAGAAATCGCTTTGCATATCTTTTTCCACCCTGCTTTGCAGAAAAACGAAGCCAAGGCCAGGCTGCGTTTAACCTGCAGCTGCCCGGTGACCTGTGTCCCGGCAGGGATGGCTCCAGTGTGCCGTGTTGGATCGCTCAGCCTCCGTGCAGGTTGAGTTTGGGGGAGACCTGGCTGGTTTGGGGGAGTTTCTGTATTAAACAGAGGCTACTGTCAGAATCTCTGTAAGATGGGGAAACTGAGGCTCAATCTTATTTCTCCTTTATGCCCAGTGCTGGCTGCCACAAGCTCAGGGACAAAGCAGAGGACAGGTCCTGATGTTTATGCACGGGATAATGGTAATAAAGTTATAAAACGTTATAAGAGATGCCGTGCAAGGGCTTTCCCCCATGCGCAGAGCCGCGGCGGTGAGTCACGGTCTCCCAAACACCGGGTTGTGACACTGTCGGACGAAGGCGGCTGACGAATGAGCTGCTATTTCCAGGCTTCCTGCTAAATATACTTTCCCCTCCCCGGTCCCCTCCGTAGTACTCTGCAAAAATTAAGGCCTTCCTGTCATTAACGAGGGAAAACAAACTGCGTTTCTGCCTCCCTTGGTCTTTGCCAGATGTGGGAACTGAGGCACGCAAGTGGCTTAAAGGCTGAATAGTTGTGCGGGGGAAAAAGGGGGGAAAAAAAAGCAGAATTTAGGTCTGCTTTTAAGAAGAGAATAAACAGGAGGGAGCGTGAGGCGATGATAACGGTGTGGTGCTGGGGGACGAGTGTGTGGGTGCAAGCAGAGGGGCTGCGCTGCCCTCGGGGAGTATTTTTTGTCGAAGCTGGCTGTTTACTTTTAAAGGCTTTGGTCCAAAGTTTGGGCTTTAGTTTACATATAGGGCCTGTGTCAATCCATACCGTGGATCAACAAGTTTTTCTTTCAATAAACACTCCGGCTGGTGGAGGGAAAATAAAAAAAAAAAAAAAAAGTTGTGAGGAAAGCCTTCAGACAGCATTTTATCTTTAATTAGTTTGAGTTGTTTTTCAAGTCCTGGAAATATTTTCCCAGCTCAGACTGCAGAAACTCCCCCAGCCTCCCCTGCCAGAGGTTTGGAGCTGTTTCCTTCCTCCGAAGCAGTTTTAACCCAAACAGGACCACGGGGACGGCTCCTGGCCAGGGTGAAGACAGCGCGGATCCTGCAAATCCTGACGGGCTGAGGCTTTTGGGAAGGGAACTGGATTTCAGAGGGTGACCTGCTACCTCTTTGCAAAGGATGCTCAAAAGTTATCCCCTGCTCCTGAAAATCTTAGTGCTTGAGAGTCTCAGCGGGTAGATTTTGGGAGAGGTGCTAAGCTGCCTGGATGTGTGTGCTTAGCCGCTTGCGTGCCTGCAAAAGTGGAATTGGGATTTTGGTTTGGACTCTTACAGCGTTTTGTGGCATCTTCTAAAAAGAGTGGGGGGAGCTTTCCTGCTTTATATTAGGCAGCAAACTCCAGGTTAGTGGGGGTGTGCATTTTTCCAGTCACTGCATTATCGGGGAGTAGATGCGTAGTGGTGGATAGCAGATGCATAGTAAATGCATAGTAGTGCTGGGATTGTTTGGCTTTATCCATCGCCCTGCCATTGAGGGGTGTGAAGCGGATGTCTGGACACGTTGCTCCATGAGAAACAGCCCGAGCCCTGTCCCAGCTGCTCTGAGCATCGCAGAAAACCGTGGTCTTGATGGATGCATCGTGTTTTGCCTCTTCACCGTCCGGCTGCCCTTTGGTCCTCGGGTTAGTGTCGTTAATCACCAGGAACCCACTCACTGCTGAAGATGCTGTTCCCTCTGCGTGGCTGTAGAGAGCCCCCAGGACAACTGTTGCCCAAATTTAGCTGGTTCAGGCACATCCCTCATGCCAGGCAGGATGAGGCCAGGATGAGGAGCATCTCCCTCACCCCCTTGGGCAGTGGTGGGTTGCATGGAGGTGCCCTTAATGCAGGGCAGGGAGCAAGCAAGGAATATACGGCCTTTTCTATATGGTCCCTGCTCAGCTCATCCCATGCAGACAAATCCTTCTCCCACCCTATAAAAGTCCCTACCCAAGTCATGGTGATGCTCTGTAGGGTTTGGATTTCTGGCTGCCTTGAGGCAAGGCTGGAGATAAGAGGGGAAAACCAAAGAAGCAAGTTGAGGAGGTGGCCTCACAGCATAACGAAAAAATATACCAATACCTGGAGAGGCCCAATTCTGCCCCTGCCTGCAGCAATTTTGCAGAGGCTCCGGCTCTGCTCACTGCCCTGCAAGGCAGGAACGTGCCTGGCGCTTCCTTTCTCATACCAGCATCTTGTTTCAGAGCAAACAGACAGCAAGCGTCATGTGCCACTGAATAATCCTCACGTTGCTCTTCCCCTTACAAAGTTCTCCTTTCTTTGGCAGCCTGCGAAATGCTGGATGTGAGCTCTAAAGCTTTGCCATCCCCGGTGCTCGTCACTGCTTCCCGAGCCAACGAAACCTGGTTCTTGCCTTGCAGGGGAGCTGGAGGTGGTGTTGCTGGAGGTCATGGTTCAAGTGTTCCCCGTTTTCCAGGAGGCTTAAGCTGCTCAGTGGTGTTTCTGTCTCTATACGCTATGCAGGGCTGTGTAGCAATGGGTGCACCGTGGGTGCTCCCAGTTGATGTGGCAGAGGAGATGCTGTGGTGGATATGGCTACAGCGTGGGATTTTGGAGCCTGATGGAGCTCAGCTATGACCGTGATCAAGTCACCTGTCCCTACATACCCGCTGGTAAGGGGTGTGTTGTGAGCAATGGCAAAAAGATGCGAGTGGACGTGTAGGGTGTCCTTCACCTTCAAGGATGGAGGGGTGTCACCAGCGTCTTCCTCAAAGTCGTTTGTCCCGTGTGTTTTGTGCCGCCTTGGCTGCTGGAAAGCACAACTCTTTTCCTATCTGAACTGAAATGTCCTCACAGTGGTGGCAAGGAGATAGAGGAGACCTGGCCGAGGGTGTGCGGTGTGATCAGGACACCGGGGGCCTCGCAGGTGGTGAGTCTCAGAGGACAGAGCTAAGCCAGATGATAAGTGCCATGTTCTGGGTTTCTTGTGCGATTGCAGCGAGGAAGGCATGGAGGTGTAAACGCTCACAAAATGAGATGCAACCAGTCTTTTCAGCCCTTGGAAAGCCCAGGGACCCGCCTCTGAAAATGTTGCCTTGGCCATTAAAGTCCTGCTGATGCCCACAGAGGAGCACGTGCAGGGACTGCGCCCGGGTGAAGGATGAAATCCTGCACACGTTCAGACGTTTCCACGGTCCGTGTGAACACTTCCCGACTGGTTGCAGGAGAAAGGAAAGCCTTTGATGCCCAAGAGGAGACCTTCCCTCCACATAAGATCTTTGAGATGTCCAGAGGTGGATGGGGAGGTTGGATGCCCCGAGGTTCAAGTTTGGCTCCCAGAGCTGCCACTGTGGCCCTTAGTGAGTGGCTGCAGGTGTGTGCCTTGGCTTCCCTATCCTTCAGGTGGAGGAGGGAGACAGTTCTCTGGAAATCAGTCTGTCGGGGTGCTCTGGGGTCGTTTTCTTGGACCCACAAGTCTGGTTTATGGCCCCTCCGGTGGATTAGGAGACTTCATCTAGAGATGATGCCTTGTTTCCAGCTGTTTACACCTCTGGATATCAGCCAGGTACTTGGGTAGGATGTAAAACCTTCAGTGCCTGCTGCCATCAGCACAGCCGTGACACGGCCGCCCATCCCTGCAGCATCACAGCCACCACCAGCTTCGTGCGTTTCTTTCATGCCCTGCGCCAGCCTCTGACAAGGTTTGGATGTAAAGTCCGGGTCCCGGCTGTGCTGTACCGCTCTGGGATGAAGCAACTTTGCTTTCCTAGCCAGCAAGGTTTGCAAGAGCCAGAAGTGTCTCCTTAAGCCAGCTTGAGGCCAGGCGATGTGCTTTTTCCATTACCACCTCAACCTCTCCATCTGTCTTGGCAGAGTGCTTCTTGCATCTACTCCTCCACAAGCAGAGCACAACACGTGGGATTTCTTTTTTTAAGTGAGAAAAAAAAAATAATAATCCCCAAACATCATGAAAACACACTGTGGAGTGTGCTGTCCCCCAGCCGAGGCTGCAAGAGGATGGGCAGCACTGCCAGCGCCGGCAGAGCGGAGCCGCCGGCCGGTTGCTCAATGCTCGTGGGGGCGGGATGGGAACACTTGGCAAAGCCCCCGCGTCCCTCCCGCAGCTACATCCCGCAAGATGTGAAGCAATATTTCCAGCCGTGTTTTTAATAGCCTGCAGCTCTGTAACAGTTGCAGTGATGTCTGTGTGAAATGCAGCTCATCCCTATCAGCGTTCGACGGGCACAGGATTTATTTGGGCTGGTTGCGTATGAGGCTGGGCACTTGCGAAGCGTTGGAGGGGTGGCTGAGGAGCCATCGGAAAGGTAAAAATCTCTGGTGACCTGCTGCCGGTGTGGGATTGGATGGGATGAAGGCGCGGATGGAGGTTGGCATTGGACATCTGTGCACTGGGTTTTGTTGCGGACCCGGCTCAGGGGTTCATCAGGCTCAGAGGTGCTGCTTTGGGGTGTCCTGCAGATGCACTGGGATGGGATGCTCGGCTCTGTCCCGTCCCCACGAAGCCTCCTGCTTCACTGCTGGGGAGGATCATTCCCTTGAATTAAAAGCAATAAATGAAAAGCAAACAGCACAGCCCTGGTTTGCAGGGGGCCTGATGTCTCATCCTAGGCTTTTTTTTCCCTTTATGGGCCAGCCTGTGATGCTGGCCATGTGCTGGGATTTGTGCATGGCCAGTGCAAGGTTCAGCCCTTTTTCCAAAGCTGCTTTTCCCCTGCCCTGTGGGACCCTCATGAGCACCTGCGTGGTCTCTAAAGGGGTCCAGCTTCATCAGTCCCGTGGCTGCTGTTACTAGAGGAGTCTCTGCAAAGCTGTGGGGGCTGGATACGTGCGTAGCCTGTGGGGCTTTGAAGCCACTGAGCTTGCTCAGGTGTGGATGTTGTCATTTCTACCCAGGCCAGACTTCTGGCATGGCTGCCTGGAGTGGATGGGAACGAGGGATGGTTTTAATTAACACAAACGGCCTGCGGGGTCAGGCTCCTGGTGTCCCCTGAGCAGCGGGTCGCACGTGACGGTGGTCTATGCTACTGGAGGGATGCTCATCCTTGAGGGGAAGCAGGGAGCTTCCCCCATCAGGCTAGCTGGTGGCTTTTATGGTTGCATTGCTTTTCCAGGTTTCTTCCTCTTTTATCCACCCCTCTCTCCTTCCCAAATCCCAAGTCCCTGTTGGCAAACCTCTTCCCTAGCAGTCCCCTTGCTGAAAGGCACTTTTGTGAGTGGAGCTGGTGCCTGCACATCTCCCTGGACAATTTGCCTTACCTGTTGTGGTAGGAAAGGGGAGTTAATGGTGGCAGAGGAATGGATTTAAGAACTGATTTGCTTTTTTTTTCCCCTCTGTGTCTCTTTGACAGGTTACAGCCAAGACTGCCTTCGTGTTTATCTTACCTCAGTATAACATTAGCGTGCCTACAGCAGGTAAGAGGTGCTGCTGCTGCGGATACCCCAAGGGGAGGGTCGAGTCGTGGTCTGCCCCAAACCCTCGCTGTCAGCTGGCCTGGGCTCACCTTTTACTGATGCACACTGCTCGAGCCGTTGTCTGGTAGTAAAAGAGATTTTAAAAATAAGATACATGGGTGAAAAGCAAAGTTTGAGTGGCTCAGAGCACACTGGTTGTGTCTGCCAGCCCTTGTGCTGCCAGGGTTGGGAAGAAATGCTTTCCAGGGGGTTTTAGGGCTTCCTTTCTACCCTGTTTCTGCCATGGTGAGGCCTCTCTGTGCGCTCTGCAGGGTGAGGATCCTCCTCCAAGCCTGGTCAGGCAAGATCAAATTGCCTGATTGCGTGCCCAGAGCAGCTCTGTGCCCTGCCGAGGAGCAGGAGGGATTTAGCTCTTTGCTAAGCAGCCGGGGCTGCGCAGATAATTCCCATCTCGCTTTATTTATTGGGGATGGCACAAGGTGAGGGTGCAGAGATGCAAATGGTGCGCAGCATCCCTGCTCCAGGCAGCTTATGGTCGTGATGCACATGGAGTTTAATTCAAGGAGGCTCCGAGCTGGCACAGGTCCGAGACCGATGGACCAGAGGACGTGCCCCAGCTCCCAGCCAGGAGGCAGCTGGAGCCTCCGTCCCTGTTTGTATTTTGGCTGCTAGTAGCTACCTTCCTAGCCAACAGCCCCGCTGGGGCTGGCAGCGATCTGGGCACCGGCATGGGGGCAGCAGGAGGTGGTTTGGGTAAAGCCCTGGGCTCAGGATGAGCCAAACGCCCGGGGCAGAAAACTGCAGTTAATTAGAAGTGTTCGAGTAATCATCCAAGGGAA